ATGACATAGCAATGATCAGATGCCAATCATCTGTCTCTTTGAGAACAACAAACAGATGAAAAGGATTTCCTCATTCGATGGCACCCTTGTAAAGCAAGTCCTGATCCACCTCCAAAAGACACTGGAAAGAAATGGGATTCCAAGGAGGAGGGAAGGAAACAGGAGTGAGAGAAAACGGGGGAGAGAAGAGGAAGTGGAGGACCAGACTATCGGAGACAATGTTCAGAACCCATGGATCAACTGCAAAGGACCGTCAAATGTTGAAAAAGTGATAGAGTCTATCTCCCACTAGCCTTGACCCGAGAACATAGTCACCAACACTGGATGCCCCGAAAATGATGCTTGTTCATATATTTATGGCAAACAACAGATGCCCAAGCAGCTGGAACCAGTAAGGTATTGGAAAGGGAGCGAGACACAGGAATGGAAACAGGTTGATGGGATAAAAGAGAGGGCAAGGATGAGAGGGACGTATGCAGATGGACTGACTTAACACTCGACTCCAATGAATCAGGGATACACCCAAACACCTTTTGTTGCCAAAAATATGTCACACTATCACGTGGAAGGTAAACAAACTTGAGATAAAATGGCAACTTGACTGAAAAGATCCCAACAGCAGAGCAGCCACATATGTAATGTAAGGGCTGAAGAGAAAAGGCATGCCATAGTAGCAAAAAGAAGACTTCAAGTAACATCTGAAAAACCTCTCAGGGGAATTATGAACAGCCCCAGACAAAAGGTGAAGGGAGGATAAGGAATGGAGAAGGGTGGTCAGAGTAAGATGAATATAGGAAACCTGTGGTTGAGAAAAGGTAGTCGAAGTATCAGGGTTCTATTCCCACAAAGGGAGAAGCAACTCCAAATACTGTGAGTCTAACAAAGGGAAGTCAGACTGATGATAAGCAAAAGCATGATCAACCATAATACATATTGGTATATTGAGAAGCATACAAATCCCCGAATGTAGTTGCTTCCCAAAATGATTCACATGAACCACAATATCTGGGGAAGGAGAAAACACTAAATAATAACCCAACAGCTCTTCCCCAAGAATGGCAGGGGTGGAACCATAGAAAACAGAAGATAAGGATAGAACTCAACATACCTGATTAATCAGTTCCACAAAAGGGGAAGGAGGTCTGAGAAATTCCCCCAAAAAGGACATGCGACTGAGAGGCATATTCAGGAGGGAGAAAGAGGTTGTCTAATTGCTCATCTTCCCGATCATTCCAACCCTGAGCAGGAATGAAAGTACAATAATCAGTTGGCTTTACTTTTTTGCATGAATTGGTCAACTCCCAACGTACTGGAGTCATCACGTCATGGGCCGATAATCAGGGTTCCGACCCAATGGACGTGGTTGGTGAATCTGCTGCAGCAGTAACAGCAGTTGTAGTACTGACCAATTGAAATTGTGAGTGCATAATTCACGCAGTCAGAAAAAAAGGAGAGAAGATAATTAAAATAAATCGTAACTCTCCACAAAAATGGTAAATAACAATTGATCTGAAGTAAATAAAGTGGATAAGTTAATCAAACTGAGAACAAAAAAAAGTATATTCAATAAGACTGCCAAAAGAAACTTGGTTAACAGCTGCAAGATTAGAGAGGGCACTAGTTACAGTAGGAGCAGTGTCACACTCCTGTTGGTGGAGGGTTGCTGCACAATCATTTGCATGTTAGTATGCAGATATCTCACATTAACATATGTGAAAATAAATCGAAGCATGAAGGCTAGTGCAAGAGAAAGTTTGCACCAGTAGAGGGCATTATGAATTGAGAAAGTTTTTTGTGAGGAGGTATGATATCGTACCAGAATTACAAAACCATGCAGTGGTCAGAATGATTATATATAAAAGCATAATATAAAAAAAGTTGTATAACAGACTAAAAGCTTGAACTGATATAATAAAATTATTACATATGTATCTGAAAGCAGAGGTAATGGAGCTAATTAAAGAGCTTATCTTTAAGAGGAATTAAACTAATCAGAGAAGTTTGCACATATACTGAGCAGTACCCTTTGGGACTGTTATTATATTTTGAAAATTAAATAAACACATATTTCATTATATAAATTCTGACTCTGCCTGTTTGATTCTTACACAAACTTCATCAAACTGGTATAACCTGTGCAAAACAGCAACCAACTGCATATTCTTGGTATCTTACGTTAATACTTTTTGTAATGGATTGTCCACTTCAGCAGTAAAACTACTTGTTACAAAGCCAATGAAACTGACAAAGTCTGACTGCAACTAGTTACACAATCACCAGTTGCAGCTAAAGTTACATCAGGGTATGATCTATCTTTGGCAAGTAGTAGGTTCCAGAATACATATGTAAAGTGCAGAATCAGTGGTTGTATTTCTGACAAACATATACACTGTGAAGATACTTTTAATTGAAATAATACATCCCAGTCTTACAAAACAGTTTGACTGACAATATTCTGGCTAACAGTGTTAAAAGTGAGATAATGAATTATTATATTCTTTATAAGGACAGTGATACTTGTGTAGAGACTTCTGTTATGAAACTGCACAAGCATTACCAGAAATGCCTACTCACCAACAGCTTGAGTTAAATAAGATTCCATAGGAATTACAATGGTCACAATCAGCAGCACATTAGAGAAACACTAGATCACTAGCAAGTCCTGGCTCTTTCAGACATGAATCTGCTCTTCCCGAAGATTTAAAAGAATCTGTCTGAGACTACCAGAACTGCATTCACAAAACATCTTTCTTCAGTAGCCAAACAATCAGGAAACTGGATCAAAATAGATACTCCATGTAACAGTCATAAAGCAAGCCTCTATACTCAAGGTAAAGTAGAATACTATACAATACGACTACCCCATCAGAAGTAGATAAAATTTTGACTGGACTTGCTACATAATGTAAAAACTCAGGCTAAATTAGCATATGACCTCAAGTAGATTTTGTATGTTACAAATCATATACACTTCAGGACAGTAAGTTATGTAGTACTTGCATACTACATAAGATATGGCACAATATTTAAACAACTGAAGAAATCACACTTTCATGTGTGTGTGTGTTAGAATCCTGAGATTAATTTCTGACAGTCTTACTTTCTCTGAGGTAGTATAAATAACAACCAAAGATAAATGGTAGCATTCCAATAGTGCCAGTTGTTAGTGAAGTTTTTTCTAGTTAAGAAAAAGACTGAATAAAAGGTGGAGAGATAGAGAGAAAAAAGAAGCAAGGCTGTGTATGACATGCTTCTAGTCAATGATTGAGACTTAGAAAGTAGCCTAGAGGAGGTATAGGGGTAGAAACAGACCATTCTGTACAATTGCATCAATGTACCAATTCCCACGGTACAGAAAAATGTCAATCCATTGATGTACTTACATAACTTGGTGGTAACTACATTTTCACATTTCTTTAATGTAAGAAGCATTGGCTACAACTGCACCCATAAGAGCTTGTGAACATTGTATTACTTCAAAAATATACTCTTTCTTTTATAATGGTTAGACTAATCATGAAACTGTAAAATGAAATAGATGTAAAGTGCACATTGTGTTTTATTTCATGTGATTAAATGACTTATTAAGAGGGACTACGGATTCTCCTGTTTAATCTAGCAATTATTTCAGTCTAACTTTGATCACTTCAGTCACTTAATTGTTTGGAATTATCAATAGTACTGATTTTTGATGAAAAAGCAGAGTGAATTAAAAACAAAACTTATTAACTCAAGGCAGAGGGAGACTTGTTGATGTACCTTTAAGTATAGGTACTGCATCAAACATTCATGGCCATTACAATGCTTCAGGGCACAACATTCTTATTTTTACCAGGCAGTATGATTCATGCATATTTACTGGAAAGTACAAACTGCCACATCAAAATGTCCTCCCCAGTGGATCTGTGGTAGGCTTGAGGGCTTATAATGCTAAAATTTGGCATTCAATGCCTGAGGTAGGCTCAGTGCAGATATTTCAATGTGCAGCTTTGAACTTACAAAATCAACACATCAAAATTAAAAGTTAACAAACAGAACCTCCAAATATATCCATACAACCTACAGTACGGCAATAATCACTGATGATGGTACAGTGTGAATAACATAAATAATCATTTCTTTTACATTTAAAAGGGTACCAGCAGTTTTTTTGTTGGTCAGGTATGTGAGATTCACATAATAATACAAGTTCATTTGTTGATATAACTGCTTGAGTATGTATCACATCATGACTGATGTCTGTATGTAGGAGAAAATAGCATAACAATTGAATGCACTAGCAGAAATGCCACCCTTTGTGTGTCTCTTTGTGCTAGTAATTACAAATCATAGTACTCGTACCTCATTGAAAAAAATTGAGAAAAAGTGATCATTTCCTAAAAAAAGTTGTTGTTTTTCTGGGAAGTACTGCATGGGAAAAGTATTCAGAATGTGCTATTTAGTCATACACAAACTCATTACATCAAAATCATTTAATGTACAAAGCTCAAAATTTTCATAAGTTTTACTGATATAAAATGTAATGTTTTTATATATTAAAAGTGGTATCGTTTATAGAAAAAATCATATTTTACTAAGAACTCCAGTTTCTCAGTAATACATTTAAAAATTAAATCAATAAAGATATAATCAAATCCTCATGTATAGTCCTAGAGAAAGTCATGTTCTTGTTGTGAAGAGAGTACTTTTATTTTAAATTGTATTCTATTATAAAGAAATGGTTGTTGTACATGCCACAGTTATTTTTCTAATCGTCTGAATCTTGAATACCCAAAATTTGATTTTTTTATGGATTTTTGTTTGTGGTGCACTTTAATACATGTTACAGTATTTTCAGTTTCACATATAAATACTGACATACACGTTACATCGATTATAGCAAAATTAAAGACAAAAAGGAGGAGAACAAACTTGTTTGTTGCTATTCAACAATGTTACATTTTTTAAAGATATATCTGGCAGAAACCAAAGAAAATGTTTTGAAGTAGATGTAAACTCACTTTTAGTGCAACAGTGAAAGCACATGTAACCACTCAAGTCCCTTGAGTCACAGTCATTCAACTCTTCTTCTTCACTTGCTGAACTCAAGTCTGTTTGATTCAGATTCAATGTTAAATACTGATTGCAAAATACTTTAAAATAATTGGTATTATTTAAAAAGCAAATTTTCTAGCTATGAAATTGTTTTATTAATTTCTTTTATGCAGTATTGTGAATAAAATACAAAGATATTGTGTTATGGGAGGAAAAATACCATAAAACTTATCCAACATTATTTTCTGAGATTTTATATGTTATTACAACAAAAAAGGTCCAATACTGTGAAAGGTCATTGACCAATAAAACATATTTTTACTCACTATAAATGTTTATCTTCCCTTAGTGTGAAAAAATTCACTTAAAGCTGTAGTATAGGTAAAAAAATAGCAGATTAAATAGAAACATTAAAAAAACTTGTAAAAGAATCAAATACATGCACAAATGTTTTCTTGTTGAAAAATTTATAATCATACAACAGGATGTCATTGTAATTAACTTCAATAAACGAATAAAAGCATATGTTATGCTGACTGAGTTTAAAAATTACAAATACAGGGAATTACAAATACAGATAAAGTGTAAACAGAATACATTACTTCTAAACCAATAAGAAAGTAATTTGCTTAAAATTCTCACCATTTTCTTTTTTGATTCTAAAGGCTGTTTTATTAAAAATTTTTAATATTACAATGTCATTAATTTTAGCCACTTAGTGAAGAGATAATTTCTATATAAAGTGAATAAAATTAATCCATACAAAGAAAATAAATGAAATATTATAAATCAAACAATACTTAAAGAAAACTATATATATATATATAATACATCAGAACCCAACTTACCAAACTCATTTAAATCTGATTTGTTTTGTTTTTGGGAAAGACTTGATGCGGCGAATAACAATCTGACGTCGTCGTCTGTGTGATCGTGTGGTAGCAGCACCTGGAGTTTTCTTCCACAAGTAGTAGAACTCCACCAAATCTGCCTGTGAGTAATCATTCATAACAGTTTGTAATTAGACAGAATAATAATATATAACTTATAAGAAGTATTTTTCATATCATTCTTGCTTAGATTGAGAAATATTGTACTAATTTTAAAACAAAACAGAAAAGTGAAATAAATAACCAAACATCACTAAATTCCTTAATGCAATGGTTAAAAACAGGAGTTTGAATGATGATTTTACCAAAGATATTACCTTGGATAAAAATTAAGTACCATTTACTTTGGTTTTTGGTCTGACATAGTAATCTTATTGGACGTTGTTAAAGGTTTGATTTTTGTCTGAATGAATAAGAAGTAGATAAATAAGTCTATGCTCCTTGGCCAGTTTAATACATATGCACATAGAAAAGCAAAAAAAAAAAAAATCACTTGATAATAGAAAACTTGGAGAGGATGTCAGTCCAATTTGAAATACTTAAAATTCTACAATACAATATTGAATATTTTTTCTTGAGCGTTTCTCATATGGATCAACTTTCGAAGCCACCTCATCAATGTAACTGGAGATAGATCTCTGGAAACTGAAGGATTCCAATGAATAAAGAGTCAATTTATAGCAGAAAAAAGTTAGTGCGAGCCACATAATACCTCAGGGCTCTGACAGGACATAACAAACGATCTGGGTTTGATCAGTCATAGAGGTGAGAAATAGCTGGCAAATGAATTGGGGAGAAGGATTTATCCCTCTACCTGGCTGCCAGAGTCTTATGAAGGAAGCACCTATTAGAGTACATCAGGACAAAAGTGGAGTGAAAGAAAGTCCTGTGCACATGTAGTGCAAACAACTCTGACCTACAATGTCCACATGTCAGTAGCAACAAAAATACACTTTAAGCAAAATGTGATACATGGTACATGAGGCTAAAGGCTCGAATAGATGTCAAGACAAAGCATGTAATACCACCTTAAGATCCCAGTTGGGTAACAGAAAAAGCCATTTGGGATGAAGGACTCTAAACAATTTGAGAAAGCCAGATAGCACTGGGGATTCAAATACTTTCCAACGTTTAGAATATCAAAAAGTAGTAGATAAAATTGTCTTTTATATAGTGACAGTAGACAAAGCTAGACCTTTGCCAAAAAGCCAGGTCAAAAAATGAGATATGATGGGCATATTTTGGTGAAGTGAGTTCAATTTCCTCATGAGACACCATTGGCAATAAATGTGCCATTTCCGTTAATAAATGGCTATTGTTGGTCCATAGATAGATTGAGATAAATATAAGGCAACTTTAGCAGGGCTGTATAACTTCCATACATGAAGTTTGAGGTTGAGAATGTCTGGGTGTAGAATGTCAGATCAGGGTGCTAACAGAGATAGCCAAAGAGGAAGTGGCAAAGGTGAACACTCCTGAAGATACTGTAGAAGAGGAAACCATGGTTGGGCCTGTGAATTAGGGGCTACCAACAGTACTTGACAAGTATTGGATCGAATCATAGCCAGAACTCTGGATAACAGACGAATTGGAGGAAAGGCATAGAAATGCAATCCCGTCCAATCTTGACTGAATACATCTATCGACAAAGCCCGAAGATGAGGTACCGGGGACCAAAATGCCTGTAGTTGAGAGTTGCAATGAGTGGGAAATGCACCAATCATCAGAGTCCCAAACTATGAGCAAATCCACTGGAAAACCTTGCAATGAAGCATCTATTTGTTAAGGAGAAACTGATTGGGCCAATAAGGTGACCTGTTATTACATTCATCACCTCTGGAACATGGCAAGCCAGAAGGCTGATATGATAGGAGCGAGCCCAGTAGAGAATATCCAAAGTTCGAAAATAATAGTCCTGAGAATGTGTGCTCCCTTGATGGGAGGGTAAGAGATTACTGTAGAATTATCATGACGATTTTCCCGTTCAATAGATCAAGACCTTCAACCATTGCTCGTTGGACAACAAGAAGTTCCAAAATATTGATGTAGAAGGAAGATTCATCTTCCATACATACACCCTGAAATTCATGACCATTGACGAGGGGGCAGTATAGGAACACTGATGGTAGTGTTGGTCCAATCCAACCACAACTCGAGATGTTGCTCCTGATTAAGGAGACTGGATGATCCAGTGGATTGCAATTTATGATCCATTGGTCGTGCAGCAACCAGTGAAAGGACTGCATGAGTGCTCATCCCAAAGAAATCAGAGATTCAAGTGATGTCCACATCCCCAATAGAGAGAGAACCATCTGCACAGTAGGAGAAGGAAACATAAGTAAAGGCCTGACTGCTTTTTCCATATCCTGGAGCCAGATGGGAGTTGACTGAGCCTGGATTAAAAACGTGTTGAAAAAGACACCCAGATGGACAATATATTGAGTCAGCAAGAGAATGGATTTCTTGGCTCTGATAAGAAAGCCAGCCTTGGTTGCTTCTGAAAGGAGAATCTGTGTGTTGTTCCACCAACTGACAAGATTGTGCCAGATGTAACCACTCATCCATATAATGGTGTGTGCACAGGCACAAAGGAAGAAGTAATGAGAAAAATCTCGTACAGCTGTTCAGAAGACATATGGTGCAGATGCTATACCAAAGGGCAAAGCCCTGAACTGCAGAACCTGGCCCTTGTGCCTATGACCAATAACTCTCTGATAGCCTTGGAAAGAAGATCCACACTCTTCAGATCTGTTGTGGGTGGAAATACCACTGGTTGGGAGGATAATTGAGGTGGAGGTCTAAGCATTATTCAACTACCAATGTGACATGTAATCAAATGAAGTAAATATATTTGCCCTCAACACAAAAAGTATACTTGACCAATTATTTATCTCAAAATTATGCATGACCTAAATGTTATTGAATTGTTCACAATGATTAATATTTCTCTTAATTTCAAATTAAGCCAATATTCTAAACCGATATACATTCTATGTTATCTAATAGTCATTGTGAATAAATTAACATGCTGCTTACAGTTTCCTTTTGAGGTAGTAACTCTTTTCTGATCTTGAAGAAATTCTTCCCAAATTGTCGTAAACCTTTTACAAATCGTTTCTGTTTCAGACATAAAACTTAAATTAATTGTTTTACCAATAAAATATCTACACTGCATTATCTACTAAAGAGAAGTTTTTAATGAAATTAATATTTTGCTTCCAATTTTATTTATTATATTTTGTTTATTAAGATTTTCATGCTTTAAATTACTTATATTGTCCTAATAGAAAAGATTGTAGAAAAATGTAACACTTATAAAGAAAGATATAATTATTTGATTCAGTAAAAACCACAAAAGTAAGTTTCTTAATAGAACTAGACAATATCCTAAAAAACTAAATCTTGTATAATAAAATGATTGGGAAAATAGTAGAAGTATAATACGTGAATAGAGAACACTGAGTACATTATGTTAAAACAAATTTGAATTAGCAAATTAGCAAGTCACATAACATATAACCACAACTGATATAGTTGCAATGGAATGGAATGTATCAGAATTACATTTTAACATTGCGTGGCATTTCATGGGTACTTTGATGCTCCCAAAGTTCATCACTTTTGGGAAAGGTAAGTAAAGACCCTTTCAGATGTAAAATATTCATACAAAGATATGTTCAGATCAGTGGTTTAGAATTTCCAAGATAGGGATCTCCAAATGGAAATGAGGCAAACAACATATGGTTTTACCAACATAAAGGCTTCCAGTAATATTTCCCATTCAACCATCACGTACCTCAAGCAGATGGAGAATAAAATGAGTATTCATTATTTGTATTATTCATTAAGAAGACGTATTGGTCAAGTCATGAGATGCAAAAATCTGTGGATTTCTGTGAGAACAGAATGTTGAACTGAGTACTGGGAAACCATTGTTCTTCTACACCAGAGGGATTATGGAAAAGCTGCAGTAATACAAACATGAATACATTTACCATATGAGATTTGATCATTGGCAAGACTTGTAAATCTCACAGTATTACCTATTCTTAGCATTTTAATTATTTTCATGAAGGCTTACTTGTTCTTCTTCAGTCCACTTTTTATCTATTCCTCTTGGTACTGGATGTCTGACTAATGCTTGAAGAGCTTTCCCAGTATCGTAGTTACTATCATGAAGCTACATTAAGAAAACACACATAAAAATCTAAGAATATTATAAGGTAGTATGAACATACTAATTTTAATACTTTATAAAGTGTAAAGCATACATCATATCAAATAACATAATATTTATTTAAACTAAAAACTCTAAAACAAAGGAAATATTATTTTTAACATTTATCACATACTAGTTGAATTACTCAGAATATTGATCATAATTTAAGCTTCATTGGGGAATTTCATATCACTCTCCAAAACAGTCTGCTCTTAATATCTGAACAATAGTCAATATAAATAATATACAATGATTTCCGGGTTTGTTGAATTGTTCTGGGATTACAATTTAATCAAATCCTAAACTTACACTTTATGATTTCATAATAGTGGATTGGAAAATACTATAGATTCATTCAAAGACATATTACTAAATAAAATATATAATACAGGGTTTTGATAAAACATGACAATTATACTCACCCATTATTCTAGAAAATAAATGATCAAATTATCAATTATTATGAATCTATCAATCATTCAGAAACATAAATACATTAATATCAAAACTGTTTTATAAAAAATAAATGTAGATTTCTTACATATTTTTGTAAATTTTTGAGAGAAAGTAAAAAACAAAGTTTTATTATAAGCCTATCACTTACACTAACACCTATATACAAATTGGAATAATCACCCTACAAACAAACTGAATCAAATAACAGGCAACAGTTGATTTGACAGTCCTGTAAATAGAGAATTTTATAACTAGTATATAAGTTCCACATCAGAAATTGTAATGTATAAATCAGGCATGTCATCAAATTTGTTGATATATTCAAGTAAAATGTGAGAACATAACAAGCTTGGCTTGTGGTTGCATGCGAGCTATGTATTGTAGGTCCAAGCATTTGTTTCTTTTCTTGAACATTACAAATGTTATTGATTTAACCATGAGAATAATCATCAATTAATAACAGGGGCACGAGTTCTTTTCCAGCATGAATTTTAGTTTATATTGTTACGTCTCCGTTTGTTAATTGACTTTTCCGTAACTTCGTTCCAACGAAACTTTAACGACACAAGTCTTTACTTAATAAAACTGGTTTATTCTTTCCGAATATAACTCTGCGATACACTTAATTACAATACTCGCGCTAAAACAACACTGTAACGAACGAACGTTAACTTC